CAATGTGTAAATACATCCAAAGCAGCTGTAAGTATGACACTTCAGCTCATAAGCTACTCAAATTTTTGCACTTCACTTTAGAAAAGGGCAAAAATGACAACAGTATTGCAGAGCAAAACAACATCCAATTTGAAATTATGATAACATCTTCGTTCAAAATTACAAAAATAAACAAATCATGAGGCCACATTAAAAAATCACATGTCAAAATCAAACAAATGCCAACAGATTCGTTGAAAATTTTAGATCCTTGGCGTCAAAACAACTTGAGAATGCACAACTTCATGGAGAGAGTGATAACTCCAAAGCTTACAGAAAATTATCAAGAAAGTGACTTTCAAAAGTCAATGAATGAAAATGAGATAAGCAAAGCAAAAAAGTGCCAGATCAGCTGAAAATTGAGAGGCAAGCACCTAATAACATAATGGCTTCAGCAGCAAATATTCTAAGATTACTCCTTCATAAAATGTCCAATTATTTCTTTCCAATTCATTGTTCGGAAATAGATCTATGTAATCTAAGCTGAATTCTCTTGAAGAAATTTAATGTCTGATCAAAATCAAATTGAGTGGAAAATCTATACATAAATTATTGTGTGAAGTTTCATAACAAAAATGTAAGCTTTTCATCAGAAACTGCTTCCGATGCAAAACGATAGTATGGCAACATAGAACTTCAGATCTCGTTAACAAGTTTGAAGATGTAAACAAATACAAACTTCTTTTTACAAAAATTGCTAAACAAGCTAATAGTCATGGATGTAAAGGCACATGGGGTCTTATTGTGGAAAAAATAGGAGTACCTGAGAAAACCCACAAGGTTGGGCAGGCGACCCCCAACCTTAACCAGCATTTTTGAGAAATTGAATCCTGGAATGCTGGGTGAAAGGCAAGTTATGTTACCACTGCATCATCCTCATACACAATTCTATAGAAAAATAATGCCATAAGAATTATCAAAAGGATGTTTTGTGGCAGTCTGATAATCCCTTCACATTCAGCCCAATGTTAATAATCAATGTAAGCTTATCTTGTTGTAAACTTTAAATCCATGTGACACATGATAGCTCACACCTTCACTGAACTGAAACTGAACTTGTTGAGCAGAAATCTGCAGGTAATGCCAAGAATATCAAAAGCACTCCTTGTAAAAATATGTGCCTACATTTTACTTTGGCATTATAGGTAAAACAAAGAGTCAAGCCACCTGTCAATCCCCAAGTCTTCACTATCCATGCATACATTCAATAGAATCTAATTTTTTCTCTGAAAAATTTCTATCTTATACAAAATATATATGGATATTAATCTGAAACATAGATAAAACACAAATTGACTCGTCAATGCTTTAAACATAATATTTATTCCAAGGTTAATCAAATAATGCACATGTCATAGCAACAGTATCATAACATATATGACTGTTTACCAGTCCAGTCAGAATATCATATATAGCAAACATATTACGAAGCAAATGGGGGGTATTTTGTCTAATCGGTCCTTTAAGATGTATAAGAAGCCATACATTTATTTGTCCAAATAAAATGTCATTTCTCAAGTCATGAGCAAGCATCTGAACAGAATGGAACTATTTCTTACAGTCCCATACAGGTTCATAATGCAATGTTTTTAGAAATAAGGAACACAATTTTATTGGACAAAAAATACTTATTCAAGTCTCTATACCAACCTGTTTGCAGACCCAAACAAAGAGTAAGTCATAATTGGTGTTCAGACAACTTACCGTCAGGAATCCATCTCAAATAGGTGATGATACATTTGTATAAGAGATCACAAGTACAAAGAGTTCTCAACAACCATACACAGCAACAGTACTGATAGCTGGGCTGGTACACCATATTTAAACAGTCAGATTATAACATAAATCACTTATTGTATTGCATCGACATGGAAACATGATATATCAAGTTTTTACTATTGCAAAGTTGAATAATATCAAATCTTAGTCAAAACCAGTAATATTCAGTTTGATACTATCACAAATAAATCTAGGTACAAACAATCTTCCTGACAAAAATATCATGAAATTATTTTAGGTAAACTGTTTATTAATTCTACCCAGTATGGTTATTTTTTTCTCATAAACAATAAACATTTTTCGAATTCCTTCTTTTTTCCATGATAAGGTTCTTTGTATTATTGCAGTTACTGCTTTTTATATATTACAAAGCAAAAACATCTTATTTATAACAAATTAGTTTCAGATCCTTACAAATGCAAAATCAGAATGGTGGAAAAATAAGCATGAATTCAGTTCAATTCCCTTTTCAAAGCACAGAGTAGAGTAGGAACATTATCCTACATCAATCCTTTCCCAGATTTTAAACAAGGGAGATAACTTTGTTCAACACGAAAGTGATGTACATATAACTTAACAAAAACCTCTAGAATGTTTCTTCTACCTTAACATATATTGATGCATTTGTATAAAAAATACAAATATCTAATTTAAACATGATCTCTACATTTAAATATGACTACAAATATAGACCTCATTAAATTATGTAAGTGTTACTTCAAACGAGTACAGATCATCCCAAAAACTGAATGGCTATTATCAACTGGTGAAAAAATACCTACACTCAAGATATACTTAATACAATAATTGTGATCTAGTTTTTTGAACATTTAGACTCTCTATGGCCCTATCTGTAAATCATCAGTTCATCAAAATATTACAATATTTATTAAAACTTTCAGCTAAAAAGGTATATGTTCCATAGCTTGAACAACAAAGGCAGGTTTAAGGCCACAATATAATAATAATACCAAGACAAGTATGAATGCGAGACTATCAGCTTGGCCTTTTGTGAAAATCAAGATTGAGCAGATTCTATGCGAACTAAATTTCAGATGGTGGTGTGGGCAAATTTAAGCAAAAATAGTTTCTTCTGTTGTTCAGATTGGCAATAAAAATGTTTTTTCTTTAAATTCTGATAAAAGGGTCATCTTAACCTTTCTATTCATAATGTTTATGGTAATCTTGAAAATTAGTTTATAACAGGTTTGTAATATGCCAATCAATGTTGTAAACTGTGTGATAGTCAAACACTAGTCATGGTCAGTAATTGTCAATCAATCTTAGTAGCCATTCAGCAAAATCATGTCATAAACTGTGCCAACATCACATACTCCATAAAATGTTCATACTTTAATGATGCAGATGATTTTCCAAAACAAAATCATTTATTTACCATAAGAATTGCAATATTTTCAAAGAGACATTCACATACATGTATGAGGTATATCATTTGCTAATGCATGTTTAATTGTCTTGATAATAGTAGTGTTCAATTTGAATTATCACTGGATGTATAAACATACGGATATAAATACATTTTTAAAAAATCCATCATATATAAAAACTATATAAAAATATAACAATATATTGCACATATAATGGTAAAAACAATTATGTGCTATCCAGTATAAAGCTATAATTCTAAAACATTAACATTTAAAAATGGTTTATAAGCACCAAAAAAAGACATGCTAGACCTGACAGCATGACTATCTATATTCTTTCCTGGTACACATTTATCTAACTCGTCAAGGACCTTTCACAATTAAAAACATTCCAAAAACCAATTAACTTTTTCTATAGTTTCATTCCCGAGGTCCAAAGTTAACAATACTGATTGTACAAATTGTTCAGGTTGTTTAACAACTTGTAGGCTTTAAAGCTTGTATAAACCTGCACTTTAGACAAAGAGCTCATCATCAAAATCCATTAAAACCATTTCTTTCTTTCAAATGTTTTTAATGGTTTTTATGAGGAATATGGATAATCCTTCTAGGCAATGATTAATCCTTTATGTAATTTCTCTCGTCATCTTTGCCTCCTTATTTACTACTAACTTTACTGAGGGACTTGCAGTGAGTGTACATTTTTTTTGTAAATTTCTCATTTTCATTATAAATATCAACATATTTTACCACTCCTGACAAAAAATATCTGTCTTGCTAGTTCCATTGTACACTAACTAATATTCATTTATTCATTTCTTTTCAAAAATTTAACATGAAAATCTTCACTAAAGATACATTATATGGTTAAGTCTTACACACTGCATCACAACAGCAGAATGGTAAACATCATAGTAATGAATTCATTATTAAATTTCTTCACACATTGGGTTTTGCTACAAACAGGTATTAAGATAATAAACGCTGATCAAAGAACACCTATGCAGTATTCTGTAACATTGAATGTCCATATTTTCCTGGTTTCCATGGCATGGAGTATCACGTATTTCGCGCACATCTTCTTCGCGGACACGAACCGTACGCGTATTTTGATCGGAATGTCTTTTTAAAATCTTCTTCGGTAATTTCAATTTCGAATTCTTCTTTTGACAACGCACTGGATTCTGTCTGCAACTTGAGTCTTCTTTTTCCGCAACAGATGAATTCATAATATGAGTAATATTCAATTCTTCTCTTGAAATTCAAAGACAACACTCAACATACAAGGTAAAAAGACACGTTAAAAGCAACACAATATCAACAAATCTTTTGCAAACAACCACCTGTATTCAACAATATATAATAAAATACATGACAATGTAAAAAATGCATTGTTTTGATTGACAATGAATCACAACCTATATCTCCATTGATAAAACATTCTGGAGAAGTACAATATAAGACACAATAGCTCAGATTAAAATAATCAATACAATCATGAAAACTGAATACTCTCGTAAATTTGTTTGGCTTCACATTGTATACAATCAATGCAAATATGTATGTAAATGTATGGCTTCAAGTGACTAGGACCTCTTAGAAAGAGTTATTGATGAATAAAATGTATGTTATTTCAAGACATGATTGTGATGTTTTATTTCACAGCAAGTGAACACAAAATGACAACCCCTGTAACAGGGAGAATTTTGGGTAGGGCAACATGTTGATATAACCATCAATTTTAGGTTTATAAACAATTTCATACTATACCAAACACAATATCATTGAACGTACTGATCTTGGTTCATCCTTGGGGTATGCATTTCTGAAACAGAAAACAAAAGTAGAGTTAGAGAGGAGATACATAAAAAATCAGATCTTTTACTTTTAAAATCTGCATTTTCCACATCTGCTATTAAATTTAATGACTTATATGCAAGAACTGCCATCAACAACACACTATTAATAAAAGTATACAAAGATCACAGTGTATCACATACATTTGATGGTCATACACAATAGACATTAGGATAGATATTGCATGTCACACATTTGCTTTGTTTAAATCTTGATTTTGAATCAATGTGATCAATTTCAGTCTTTAAACTAAGGTAATAATTGTTTCCAGTTTTAAAACTTGGCAACATAAATCAGGATGAAAAAAAGTCAAATGACTTTCCTATGATACTGCATTATCATAGTCACTACATGTGCATCAAGTGTTAAGTATCATATATTGGAGTAGGTGAAACGGGGGACCAGCCTTATTACTAAATTCCCTTCCCTACTTCAGGTTCACAATAAGCTTCTTCATTGTCTGGTATGAGGATGTCGTACCCAAAGCTTCGTAGTTACAAAACTTGACAATAGTTATCCATCATATGACAAATTTATTAAAGTTGAATATAGTAATTAGTACTCAAAAGCATTATCCACAGGGTCATTCAGATTTTAAATCAATGTCTTTGATCAGACACTTACAATGTCTTCGGTCCACTTGGCTTAACAGCATTGGCTAAAGGCATTCTAGCTACAATCACCGACGTATTCTTCGGAATCATCTCCTCTGTCTCCTGGTATGCTGTCAAACAAACAAAAAGGTATCTATTAGATGACAACCTCTACACGTGTGGGGAACTTACATTTGTGTTCCAAAGCAATACTATTAGAAAAGCTCATTGCTTGACATCACTGGAATTTATTTCACAATCATTTCAAAAGTGTCAGCCCTAATACTAATCAATTGCATGCACATGATTTCATGGATAATATTCTGATTTCCTGTAGCCAGCAAATCCATCTAGTTTCTCCTGCTTTATTTGATTGAATCACTTTATAACAGTTAAGTGGAACAAACTACCCTTATTATGACTTAAAATAAATTTTATTTCCGCTTTTTTTTTATTTACTGAACACAGAAATTCTGGTGTGTTTCTTATGAAATTTACTAATGCAAGTTCAAACCTTTCTTGGTAATGGCATTGACAATATGAAGATCCACATCAGTGTCCTTAAGCTTTTTCCTCTGCATAATGGCCTTCTTCAGGTCCCCAAGGGAAATGTGGAGTCCATCAAAGGTCACAGAGTCGTAGTCAAGACTGTTCTTGAACTTGAAATGTATACAAGCCATGGTTTAAAGGGTAGGTTACTTTCAATCCCAAACAAAGTCTTCAACTTCCAATCTTGATATTAGGGCCAATGGAGCTGGATGACAATTATGGTTTCCATCTGTAATGATAAATTTGTGTAAATAAGTCACACCAGATAAAAGACTTCTAAACTTGAACATATATGTAATTTGAGATTCTTCTCAGATAGCTTGTTTGACAAGATGAAGTAATTTATTGATCCCAGAACAGTAAGAGTCGTTTTGAGACGGTGTCTTTGAGTCAATATGAATATCATACTAAACTCAATTTTGGAAGCATGTCATATGCTATCTAGAGTAATTTGGTAAAAGAACAATTTTCCAAAGATTGCAATGGCACAGGACTGTCCAAGATCTCAACTTAGTGAGAAATACATATTGAACCTGACTCAATCTGCATTGATCCAGACAAATCTGCATTTCACCTGAACTTGCCAAATTTTATGTTCTGCCTACTGACCCATTGTGGGCCCCTCTTACATGGAAAGCCAAGTTTATGAATGCAATAGATGGTAAAAACATTATCATAACAGTATGTCTAATATTTGTTTTGCCCAAGTTTCATCTTGCCAACACGTACGATCATAGACATATTAATGATATGTTGATCGTGTATGAAATCATATATACAATTATCCAACACTGATTCTATAAATCTGCGATGAAAACAACTATCTCACATGACCACAAATAAGATATCTATTCACCCAAAAACACAATCTTTTCCACCATTATATTTAATTTTTGTCCAGTTGGATAATTCCATGTTTTGTTTTTGATAAGTGTGTTATTGCCCCTTTCCAGATATAAGTCAGTTAAATCTGTAGCTGAAGCCAGGAGAAACTAGAGCAACTCACAGGGAAACTATTATAAACAAACCAGCTAGTATTAAATAAACATTTAATTTTACTTTATTCAATCAATTAACCAAGTGATTGCAAAGACAGAAGTAATACTGGTATTCCTTGACCACATACTGTAAAGAGTAACAACAGTTTGCCATTAAAGATTGGAAGAATTCAACTTTTATCAAAGAAGTGAGCTATGACCAAAAATCAGGCATATATATTCTGATGTCATACCAACTTATCTATATCAGTCTGGAATCGATAAACATCTGAAATCTGGACATCAAAAAGAGAGAAATTACTATCTTAAGCTACCCATGCCTGGGTCAGCATTCAAAATACAAATGTTGAAAGATATTTCACAGAAATGGTACATAAAGATTAAAAGTGCTAATTTTTAACTTCAAGCCAATATCAATGACATTTTTCAAAGTTCAGTATAAACATTCAATTTACATCCTACCATACACTGTACCCAATAATTGCTCAAAATTGGTGTGCGAGAATGAAATTTTTTTGCTTACATCACTGTCTGAACTTCTGCACATGTGCATGACCCTAACAGTTCCATGGGTGATAAATCCGAATGAATAAACTGGTGACCGTGAGACTATAGAAGATGCTTGGCCAACACAAATGTAAAATAAAACAGTTAAAATTCTGGACATGGAAAATATCACTGTAAAATCTTGTTGATAAAGAAAAGTCTTTTTGATCTGTGGGTGAAAATGCGAATTTCTTGCATTTATTGTGTGGTAAGTGTATTCCGACAATGTCAGCGCCAGTTACGATTTTAATCATGGGAGATGCGAACAATGGGGCTTTTCAAGAATATTTTTATCCATGTCAAAACGGTTTAACCTAAAAGGTAGGCCATCCCCAACTGCATTTAAAGAACATTGCAGTGGCAAGTAAATAAATGTTTCCAGTTGATAATTACATATAATGCTGAATATATATAACACAGCAGCGAAATGAGTATCGTTGCTGTTAGGCGAGCATATGGTCACTTCGTCAAGAAAGGTCATTTTGTTTACATGCGTTTGAACAAATTGGGAAGTCAACAATTTTGCCATAATGGTGAAAAAAACATTTAAATGATCATATTATATACCTTAAATTATGTATTTACATAAAACTCATACAGTGACGCTGTTAAAGTGTGTTTTCTCTCCTTGCCGTTGCACCAGTTCCGTCTTGAATCATTCAATATGGCGTCCTGCGTGGTTGGAGAATCCACGTGACTCCCACGTCGGACGGGATTTTCCGATATTTTGATGATATCATAATGACATGGCGCAGGAAGTCAAAACAGGTGAGAATATGTGTGTTTTTTCCGTATGTTTGTTTACTATTTAGATTTGTTGATATTGACAATTTAAAGAGTATTTAATGGTAGGAGCGGTACACATCTAGTTTAAAATATATGCAGTTGACTTATGAATAATTTGAATATATGAAGTCGCAGTAGTTTTTGTCGACAAACTTGTTGGTGTTTTGGTTCATAAATAGAACACAGCTGATAGTTGCACTTACAAGGAGTAACAAACAAAGGCAAACTTTCTGCATCGTTATGAATTTAACGTTAGTGTATTCTATTTGACATACCATTTTCGAACAGTATTGTACTACTTCCAATTACATGTCATATCAAATACTTTGGTATGGATTTTTGTTACAGATTCTATGAAATAGTTTAAATTTTGGTGTTCAGTTCAAGGACTTGATGCAGTATGTCTGGTACAATAGAACAAGAAGGTGCTGTACAAAGAGTTAAAGTATTTCAATATCTCTTTATTTCATATTAGTTATCATTAGACAAAATCAGCATCTGTATTTTTTAACTCATAAGTTTTCATTGGTCATTTCAAACAGTTTCCTTCTGATAAAATGTAGGTCATGCCCTTAACATCACTGTTGCTTTATTTGCATTTGCATGATATGGTAAGTAAGATTACAAATAAGTAACATGCCTGAAATCAAAGGCATAAATCATGGCCTATCAATACATGTAAACAGATCAATATATGTGTGATCAACAGTAAAATATAACCTTATTTTAATGATATGGTGTATTGTTGCATTGACGATTGTCATTAGAAACATGAAAACAAGACTTTTAATGTTAGAGATTTCCAGTGACATTTTAAATAAGATATATTGATGGAAGAATGTTGGTTTTTTTCTAGTCGTTATAAGTGTTGTAGCTTTTAATTATAAGACACCTATATACAACTTGTCAGAGGCTTTGAGAGTATGCATATGGTAATGTAATGACAGTTTTAATACCCATTCAGTTAATTGTCTTAATTTGTCTGCCCTGTATTTAAGATAGACGTGAATACTTTAGAGTTATAACAGATATTTGAATTCATTTTCATTATCACCATTGAATATGAAAATAAAAATTTCCTGGGAGTTAATGATCACACATAATCGTGTCCATGGAAAGGAATTTTGAATTATAACCACATCTGAATGAATTTTTAATATATCCCTGCATCCATGGAGTTCAATTATTCTTTCTATACTCTTTTAAGTGTCATTATGTAATAGCTTAGTTATCTCCCTTTGTAGAAATTTCTCTAGTCTTAGCATAAGGAGAATATGGAATATAAAAGAATCTCTGTCTTTCTAAAGACAACTCAAGCTCATGGAGTATAATATATGACATTGCCATCTTAGGTTTGGCCCTGAATGCACAGTACTGTGATGATAAAAGTAAGTATTCCTCAAAAATTGATATATGGCGTGACTTTTCTGAGGGATATTCTACTGGTATATGTGGGTACTTCTCTAAACTCAGCATTATGTGGGAGTTGTGCCACATGCTCTATAGCACTGGTCTGTGTTGTTTCAGCTTTCTGAGAAAAACAAACTTCAAAGGTCCAAGCTATATGTTTCAAAGTTCCTACTTGATGCACAACAGAATCCCCCCTTTGGCTCTGTATTTGGAAACTATGCAAGGGGTACAGTTACTCCTAAAATTGTATTTGTAAAAGAGATTCTTTGAAAACTTGGATTGTTAGTCCTGAATTTCACCCTTTTGAGGGGTGTGTACCCTCATTCAGTGATATTTGGGAATACCTCATTGGTTTGTTTCTAAGGAAGTGGAAATCACAAATCATCCTGTACTGCCATGTTGGTGTCATTGGGCCTGGCAATTTAATCCAACTGCTTCTGGTATCATGCAGGTGGCCTACATGTTGTTCATTGAAATATCTAGCCACCAGCTACTACAAGGAGACCCTGCCTCCATATGACCCTAGCAGTTCACTATGAGATAAACCTGCCGAACAAATCCATTGAGGAAAGAATTCTTGAAAATATTTAGGACATCTCAGACTCACTCATTTCAATACCTTTTTGAATGCTTTTTATTTAAATCAGATTTTAGCTTTACATATAAGTGTAGTTGTTGGCTTCTAGCTTCCAATGCTAGACCGATGAAATACTGTGGCTTTTAGTTTCTGTGAAAGATGGTGTTCTTAATCAAAGCTAGAGTTTGGGATGAATATATAAATTAAGATAGAAATAAAGGAGAGATTAGTTACCATATCTACAGTGTATGTTTGCTTTAAAGTTTCATGCTAGATGGAATTTTTTAGTTTTGCTGCTAGTACTAGTAATAGATTAGTAGCTGCGGGGGGAGTGGGAGGGGGGGGGGGGGGGGTTGGCAACACAACTTTAGTCACTGGTAGGTAGAAGTTATGTAACAAGAAGAGTGGGAAGCTGAGAGTCAATGTTTTGTCTGGTCTCTTTCCTAAGGCACATTGTTGTTGACATTTTGCTTTGTAACAATTAATAATGAATCAACCTGTCATGCATATACCAGGGCCATTGCAAGAAGCAGATCAAATCTCAAGTGCTATTGTATCATAATAAATATAGAACTTGGTTGTTGGGTTTACTATCGCGACATCTTTGAAATCTAAATGGTAATGTTCTAAATGTGTAAAACAGAAATGCTTTTTCAAGCCCAGGTTGTGCCCCCCTAGGTTTTTAGTTGTGTCCTTTTGATGTTGGGACCAATCCAATGACTGAGAGACGGACATCCGTGATTTTGATGATGAAAAATTACTATCACAATTTCTTGAGAATTACTGGATTAGTTTTTATTAAATTTCATATGAAACACTCTTTGATACCTAGATAGTTGTACGTTTTCGATTTTATTTTTTTTTTATTTTGACTAGAAAAGTTGTTTCTTGGGAAGTTCTGGATGCATGTTCCTCAGATTTCATATGCCGGTTCTAGTTGGTCCTTAGTACTGCTCTACATTGGATAATTAAATATCATTACAACTATTTCTTCTGTGCTATTTTCAAATTTCAAAAACAAGGGAAAGAAAGGAACAGAAACAATCTAACTTTTAAACAACAAATAAAGATCAAACAACGGTGGGAACCAAGCTCACAGAGGGATTTCTTGTTTTGTCCAGAGATCTCAACTATATCAGTTTTCCACCAGTCTCTTTCAAACTTATTATATTTCATTACTATGGCATGAAGTTGTTGTTTCCTTAATGAAAGTTATTGCCCTTTATTTTTATCTGCCAACAATTCATACTTTTCCGTAGACCTCTTCCATCAGTTTTAACCAATTTCTTTGAAACTTTGTAGGCTTTATACTCATGAAATGAACTTGTGTTTAATTTGTTTGACTTGGATTTGGGTTTAACAAAATTAGAAAGATTAATAACCTATTTCTTTTTATCATGTTGTAATCTTGTCAAGAGACCTTTTCTTGAAATTTTAAACCCATCCCTTTAAAATTTGATGCACTTTATTATCAAAACATGCAGCACAGTTCTTGCTCATAACATTTCAATTCAACATATCCATTTCAATATTTACTAGATAAAAGGTGCTCCAACACTCCTAATTTAGAGCTTAGCTGTCGTGTCATTGGTTAGATCCGTGTGTGGTTTAATACAGTTTCTTTCTAAGAAAACATAATAAATTTTTAAAAAGTTAAATTAATAAAAAGGAAAGTTTGAGTTTTCCTTTTTATTTATTACATTTCCATCTTTGTATTTATGTTGGTGCAATATATAATGTAAATTTTTGAGTCGTTGACAAATGTAGTTTAGGCTAAAATGTTCTGCCTTGCAGTATTCTGCAGTAATCTTCTTTAAAAGAAGATTATATGCAATGAATTCAGGTACTCATCTATTTAGTACATTATTGCTTTCTACATGAAAACATGAGCCACTGATTTGATTACTATAAATGTACATACTTCATTGTGTTTTTATTTTAGGACACTGAAAGTATAGTGATTAGATTGGTTGCATGAATCACCATATCAGTATATTGTTTGTATATATATATGGTAATTATTACTGATGCACCATTGTATCATTGTACTAACTTGTAAAACATGAAAATGCTTGAAAATTTGATTGCACAACATTAAGTCCATTTACATTATACCTAAGTATTAATCATCAATGTCAACACTTTTAATATGTAAATGAAAACATTCATACCTTAATGAAAATTGGAACATACATTAATTTACGCCTACGTAAGACATTATGTCAAAAATGTTGTTTTTTTTTTATTAGTATTAATGTTTGTATGAAGGTCAAAAATAGAGTGACATTTTTTTTCAGAAGTACTGGTAAAAGAATTTAATGGATTTCTGATTAATGACATGTTTACAGGGAATCACTTTGTTAAGAATAAACCATTATGAAAAACAAGTCTAAAGACATGCACTAATAATATGACATGATTTGCACCTACTAGGTCTGTAATATCATTCAGATTGCAATATTTATTAAATCTACATTCATGTCATGAATGTATATATATATATGTGATATTTGTCAAATCGTGATGGACACCTGCACACAAATGTTATATTAGTATCACCCAAGGTTTAGATGGTAAGTCTGTACACTATTATACACTAAACATATCCAAGCCAAATATTGTGAAACAATATATATTGTTTATTTGAAATCTTTCATTAAAATTAAGGTCAAGGTCACCATTGCTATTTATAGCAATCATCAACCAGTGACATCAATCTAACATCTTAATTTCTTTAATGATTCTATTCAAGCTACTGGCATGTAAAGGTCATGTTTTAGACGGCTTTGTATGAGTTTGTATTGCAGGGTTTCACAGTCAAGGGCACCATTATTTTTTGTTGAAGAAAAATCAGCTAGTTGAGATTTTGATTTTTTCAATCTGCATGAACAAGTAATGTGTTGTCAATTAACTCAGGATAGAATCTTCCTTCTTTGTGGAGGTTTTCCCATGAAATGAAAAACAGAAATATGACAGCCTCAATTTACTCATTCTTTATGAATTAACCCCATATGTTATATCTTTTTGTTATTTACTGTTCCATAGAGGAACAACTACAATAGATATTTGATACGGAAATTGTATGCTTGATTGAATTCAAATTTGTTTATCAGTCACTGAAAAGAGACGATTCAGTAAGTCTGTGATAGTTTAAGTGTAGTAGCCAAAACACACTTAGTAAATAATTGCTTCAGTTATATTTCATAAAGGTGAAGACATAGTCAACAGGGTTGCTATACTCTTCAGTGTATATATGTACAGATCTCAAAGGAAGTCATTCTTGGATTTCCAACAATTCTTTCAACTATTAGAGCAGGCATGAATCAGTTTGATTCAGTATTTTAAAATGGTCAAATTAACTCTTACTGTTAAAAATAGACGACACTACATAATCATTATAATTACTTATTACCTACAGGAGAAAGAAGGAAGTCATTTCTTTTAACAAATTAGTTTTCTTAATTTTCAAAATTTCACTTAGTAGGTATACTTTTTATATCCCCTTATTTGTTATATCAGGAGAGGGATGGATGGAGGGGAATGTAATAATAAAAGAATCATGATATCTATTAAGTTCTATACCTAATCATATAATAAGGTGGTAATCATTAAGGTTAAAAAATCAAAGTTCAAAGGTCACATTTGATAGCCAATGATATTTACATGAGATGGAGTAGGGACATCTATGTTTAAAGCTGGTATATAGGTGTGAAAACCTTTGAAAAACTGCAGGTAGTCATGATCAGGTATCTGTAGGACATGGTATATGATATCAGGCTATTCATTGGTCTCTTAATGGAGAACTACACTGCACTTGATGACTTATTTACACTAAGATCCATAGTACATACTTATATATATATATGTACTTATATACATACATATATATATACATGCATGTCATTGTTACATATATCATCAACAATCAAAATGTATATGTTGTAAATGAAACATCATGCTATTAAATTGATCTTCATTGCAATACAAACAGATTTAAAGATGTACATTATTGTGTTTGTGGGTGTGCTTTTTTATTGTCTTATCTTGACAGGGAGGTTCTTTATAAGAAATTGATATAGGAGCCGTCAGATCTCTTATCATGCATAGTAAACACTGAAGGGTTGGTTTGAAGAGAAAATAGAGTAAACATTTTGTTGATCTTGCACATTAAATATCAGATTATGCTGTTCTTTCACACTTAATATATATCAGATTATCAGTTATGAAATAAGTAGGAATTAATTTCTACCTTCCCATAACTAATAACTTATACACATAAGTCACACAGTATATTTGGATAGGTGAGCATTGCATTTTTAAGTGGCTGATACAATATTGACAGGGGTCTGGAAAAATCTCTTAAACCACTGTAAGAGCACAGGAATGACAAATATTTCCATCGTTGAATCTGCACAAGGAGTAATATACCTACTAATTCTGGTTTACATGTTACCAAATTTGACCTTATAAACACACTTCTTACATAAGTTACAAAAAGTGAAATTGAATGTAATCATATTTAGGGAAAAATTTCCTTATTAGTGAATGAGGAATTGTGCAGGTGCACTGATAATAGGTTGAATACCATAATTCTGTAAATTGCAGTGATCGAAAATACAACACTGTACTAAAAAATGCGCATAAATTAATATTGCAAATAATTACACTAAACAATCCTGAATTATTAGTGATAATGTCTACATTTATATGGGTATATTCATGAGCGTTAGCTGGAAATTAAAAGAGCTCAGGGAATTATATAGATTACCAATAATTTTGATGATGTATTTCTCTGTCTTAAATGTATTGGTTTATACCAGTACAAGTATCACACTGTATTATGTGTGCCTGTATTTATGCCCACTGACAGTGTTGCATTAGCAGAATATTATAAATTTAGAGATGTGCATAATCTGCCTTCTGGAGATTGGGAGCATTTTTAACATTTTTTTATAGAAAAGCACATGTAAAAAAAATCTTGAATTCAGTTTAATACTGAAAGATATGTCTACTAAAGGAAGTTAATGTTTCACGAATAATCGACAGCATTTATACAATTGCTTGTATCAAGGACTGTAACAAAATATGTGATGTTAACTTCCTTATAGCTGTTTTATCTCAAGCATTGGATAAAGTATTGTTTCGTAATGATAGAATAACATATAATAATTGCTTCTACTTCCACTTTTAGCAGACCCCAATGTATATATGAGAGTGATGGGGCATGGATAAGGAGGCACAAAAAGATGATTATATGTCCAGAGAGACAGGTGCATCAACAGAGACAGATCTCCAGGATTATCTGACGAGGATTTCTTCACTTCTTAAACAGGTACAATTTAATATAGATCCTAGAGATGTCTCCATCTAGTCTGTATCATCACTTTTCTTTTAAGGTTAGCATTTTTTTTTGAGCATTCTAGAGGTTTAATATCTTGAGTGGTTTCAATCGAACTTAATGCAGTGACCATCTTAAATTGCATATTAGTGAAAGTTTAACTACGATTGGTATGCTTTATGATGCCTTAGCCTGTTACTTTATTATTGATCTTAGTTGTCTATATCATCATGTGGTCAATCAAGGTAGAATTTTGTAGATAACATTGTAGAGTGGCTGTGTGCATTGCTTATGCATTTATGTTCATACTTTATATGATATACATCAGAAATCCTGGAAGATTTTTCATCGATAATCATGGCGATGAATACTTTGATATTTGACATTCAGATGGGAATGGAAAATTCACTTGATCATATTGTTGGGAGAAATAGTAGGGAAAGCTAGGATTTTAGATGTACATTAATACTAACCAATACAACTGTACAAACGGTTTAGGGGGAAAATTCGGATGTTTGAAGGCACTTGTTGTATGATATATATACATGACAGCAGATTCAATCAATAGATCATATATTATTGATGAAAACAACACACTGAGCATAGCTACATTGGTTTGATAATGATTGGTGAGAAAATGGCGTGTATGGATGACAGGTGTCAACACCATGGAAGCATTCCAGGTGGGTCTAAGTTTGGATGAGTGGATACTTCAGTAGAAAGCAGTGGGGTGCAGAATGTAAGGGCAAAATGGGGAGGGTGGAGGATTCTTCATCAATGCTTTCGTTTGTTTAATGGAAAGTGTTAGAATGTTTATATTTTCCAATATTCCTGTTCTTTACCTTCATAGATGCTGTGCTTGTATGCAATTCAAACTAGAAATTCACAAACAACAATACACTGGTGTGCACATCTGTATTGATCATGGAGTTATTATGTCACCATGGAATACAAGTTATACTACACCAGTAATTCTTCTCTGTCTGTATGATGTTACACCTATATTATCTTGCTGGTCTCCTGTGGGTTATTGATTAGATTTTTCAATTTATATACTAGAATCAATTTTTAGTTGTCGTTGAAACATATCAATTGTTCATACAGCCATTGTAAGTGCTGCAATCCCAGATGTAATTTAGAAATGTAATGTATTTGGCTGTTTATATGTATGGAGATTGGTAAATCTATTGAAAAACCTGTTTACATACTTTATATCACTTCCATCTTGTGTGCATTGAAGAACAGCTTACTTTTAAAGGACAGGCATATTCACACTAAAGCTTTACTCCACCAAGTTCAGAATCTAAAAGGTTTGTGTGGCCTTCTGTCAAGGTTAAAGATCAAAGGTCATCCTTGACCAATTTTGAAATGAACAACTTATGTACATTAACCCCACAATAGATTTTCATAACAAAAAAAAAAAATGAAAGGGAAGGGATATGTCTATGTGGGCCCCTGCTGAATTTGTATATTTTTTATGTACTTTTATGCAATTGCAATAGCATGTACATTAATGAAGTATGATTATAAGTCAAATGTATCCATACATACTATTCCATCTTGAAAGATTGGATTACAAACTTGGTATTTTGTAACAAGGTCACCCTCTGAAAAATAGTAATACTGCTGTTCCACACATACTGCAAAAACAGGTCTGCATACTTTCTGTTGGTGTCAGTCTGTCGTGTGCCAATCTGTTTATCATATTATCTGTGGCATATCCCTTATATTCATGTACTCATCAAAACTTAATTTTTTTATTTATTTTGGCAAGATAATATATGAAGTGAGAAGTAACTTATTAGCTAGCCTTACAAAACAAGAACTAACTGAAAGCGTGCAATATTATTGGTTGTTTTGGTTGTAGTCATGCTTCAAAAATTTTCCAGGGAGCATATAGTTGCCTCTTTGACTGTCCTTCTGTCTGTCCATTTGTCCCTCCATCTGTCTGTCTTTCCATCTATCCTTTTGTGTCCAGAGTATACCTTTGCTCACAGTTAAGCATGGATTATTAAACTTGGTGTATACATTGGTCATACTGAGGGCCCTAGACTCCTCAGTTACAGTTACTGCCCTTTGTTAAAATTTTGTGTCTACAGCACAAATTTGCCCACAGTTAAACAAGGATCTTTAAACTGAGTGTGTACCCGTACATTGATCATAACTTTGCAGTGAAGCTAGGATAACGATATTGGTCTTTGCATTGATCATACAAAGACCATGTGCAGTGTACCAAATTCAGGGCTCTTGAGTTATTTCCTTTTATTAAACATTTCTTGTCTGGAGCATAACTTTGCATGCATTTAAGGTAGGATAATGAAACTTGGTGTATACATTGATCATATGAAGACAGTGTGTAGCATACCAATGTAAGGTTCACAACCCCTTAATTACAGAGTTATTGCCCTTCATTAAAATTTTGTGTCATGAACATAGCTTTACTTGCATTTAAACAAGGATCATAGTACATTGGTTATACTAAGAGAATATGCAGTATACCTGTTCTAAGTAGGACAACCCCTTAATTACATAATTATTGGCCTTTGTTAAAATTTTATGTCCAATAATGTTGTTTTTAGGGGCTTTCATCAGTTTCATTGATACGCTTGGTTTTTTTATACTTGTCAATGAGAGAAGAAGCTTGTAGTGCTCTGCATTGTTGTGGTTTTTCTGTTACTTCAGATTGACAGTTCTTGAAGACGCTTTACTATAAAACTTTATTTTCTTTTCAGAGAAACTTTCATGAAGCTTTAGATATATGTGACACTGGTAAGATCTAATGTTTATCACTTTGATAATAAATGGCTTGATTTTATCCGTAAAATCTAATAGTTGTAGTATCACAAAGACTGCCTGTAAAACAAGAATGCTTACCACTGTATTTCTGTTATTGTTGTTGTGATTGATATAACCTGGATTCCTGAATAATGTTAGCATATCCGAGTCCTGAACAACAGATCTTTAATTCCAAAGCATTTTAAAGAAACAAACATATTTGTGAAACATTGTCCGTGGACTTTTTCTTTACTATGATCTTTTTATGCTAGACAAAATCATTTTATTCCAATGCTAGTAATTTTGAATTATTTTTTTTTTCAGCCCTTAGAGAATATAAAAATGAAGAAAAATTACAAGAAAAGAAAATCAAAATTCTGTGCCACCAAGGAAGATTTGAAGAAGCTTACAATATTGCTAAGAAGTGGTCAGTAAGAGATCCAAAGGTGAGATGTTAAACATTTGTATAGGGTACTGTAGTTTATTTCACTATCTTGTCAGTACCATACACTCGGTAACACCTATTACATCAAACAAATTTTGTACTGACACTCCTTTACGTTACACCATTTGGAGCCCTTACTGTTTTGTACTAATTAAGAACATGTATATTGGGATGTTGGGAGATACAGTAGTAACACAATGGACTTTCACCTGAGCATTTGGGATTTGATTCCCTGGGCAGATGTGAAATGTTATCTTGTCACCCGTCCAGTCTTGGTAGGCTAGTTTCTTCCCATAGTAAAACCCACTCAGACTTCCTTCCATACCAATAAAAGTGATTAAAATAAATCAGATAACTTGTTTTTTGCATTTGTTGTAAATTATATGACGATTAGAAGTTTATATCTGTGTTATAGGTATAATTGATACTAGGGGTTCGTTGTAAGAGTAAGATATATTTTACTAGAAGTTTATACCTTATTAGGGATAAATCCTTAAACAATTAATTAGTGGAAATCTATATAACTTCAGAGAAGTAAATCATGATACATATTTCTTATTTCAAATATTACAGAACTTAACAGCACAAAAGGAACTGAAGAGACTAAAAATTGTAATACATGCTTTAAATGATCAGGTATGTTTGTTTGAGATCAATTGAATTATTTACAATTGTACCTCAAGATTCTTTTTAAAAATACAGTATGCCATATCCAAAAGGGAAACCTTTTAAAATACCTTCATATCAAATATTCCTCTTTGTGAATTATGTTTCCTTCATTAAGTGAAATCTTTCAGTAATGGTGACAAGTCAATGTAGTAAAAGCAGTATATTTGAATTTTAAATATCAGTATCTTGTTGTCTTTGCTCCATTGTGAAATTATTTTCATCAATTTTATCTGTATTAAAGGATGAGGAGAGTGAAGAGGAGGAGTCAGGTTCCCAGATAAAAGAAGACAATGAAACACAGGAGGAAAAAGATGATGACAGCAAGAGGTCATCACCTGAGGGCATGGAAACTAAGAACAGTCATAACTCTCTCAAACAGTCCATGCCAAATACCCATTCTGCCATCACCTCACAAACATTCAACCCACAAACAGTGGAATCAGGTATGTCAGTGGAGTTAGGTACACCACCCGCCATCACTGCACACACATACAGCCTACTCACAGTGGAGTTAGGTACACCACCCACCATCACAGTGGAGTTAGGTACACCACCCACCATCACTGCACACACATACAGTCTACTCACAGCGGAGTTAGGTACACCACCCACCATCACTGTACACACATACAGCCTACTCACAGTGGAGTTAGGTACACCACCCACCATCACTGCACACACATACAGTCTACTCACAGCGGAGTTAGGTACACCACCCACCATCACTGCACACACATACAGTCTACTCACAGTGGAGTTAGGTACACTACCCACCATCACTGCACACACATACAGTCTACTCACAGTGGAGTCAGGTACACCACCCACCATCACTGCACACACATACAGCCTACTCACAGTGGAGTTAGGTACACCACCCACCATCACTGCACACACATACAGCCTACTCACAGTGGAGTTAGGTACATCACCCACCATCACAGTGGAGTTAGGTACACCACCCACCATCACTGCACACACATACAGTCTACTCACAGCGGAGTTAGGTACACCACCCACCATCACTGCACACACATACAGCCTACTCACAGTGGAGTTAGGTACACCACCCACCATCACTGCACACACGTACAGTCTACTCACAGCGGAGTTAGGTACACCACCCACCATCACTGCACACACATACAGTCTACTCACAGTGGAGTTAGGTACACCACCCACCATCACTGCACACACATACAGTCTACTCACAGTGGAGTCAGGTACACCATCCACCATCACTGCACACACATACAGCCTACTCACAGTGGAGTTAGGTACACCACCCACCATCACTGCACACACATACAGCCTACTCACAGTGGAGTTAGGTACACCACCCACCATCACTGCACACACATACAGTCTACTCACAGTGGAGTCAGGTACACCATCCACCATCACTGCACACACATACAGCCTACTCACAGTGGAGTTAGGTACACCACCCACCATCACTGCACACACATACAGCCTACTCACAGTGGAGTTAGGTACACCACCCACCATCACTGCACACACATACAGCCTACTCACAGTGGAGTCAGGTACACCACCCACCATCACTGCACACACATACAGCCTACTCACAGTGGAGTCAGGTACACCACCCACCATCACTGCACACACATAAAGCCTACTCACAGTGGAGTCAGGTACACCACCCACCATCACTGCACACACATACAGCCTACTCACAGTGGAGTCAGGTACACCACCCACCATCACTGCACACACATACAGCCTACTGACTGTTGGGTCAGTTATGTCCCTCCACTATCACAATACACACATACATCCTACTGAATGTTGGGTCAGGTATGTCCCTCCACCATCACTGTAAACACATACATCCTACTGAGTGTTGGGTCAGGTATGTCCCTCCACCATCACAACACACACATACATCCTTCTGACCTTGAGTCAGATATGTCCCTCCACCATCACTGTACACACATCCATCCTATTGACTGTTGGGTCAGGTAGGTCACCCCGCCAACACTACACATACAAACGGCCCACAGATAGTTCAGTCAGATACATACCTCCACCATCACTACACACATATAGCCCACACACAAAGCAGTCAGTGAAGTCACTACACCTTCACCACACACAAACAGCCCTCAGATAGTTCAGTCAGGTACAAACCTCCACCATCACTACACACATATAGCCCACACACAAAGCAGTCAGTGAAGTCACTACACCTTCACCACACACTAACAGCCCACAGTCAGTGCAGTCAGGTAGGTCACCCAGCCATCACCACACACACCAACACATAAAGACACAAGTATAAACTTAAACAAACTTTGTGATTATTGTTTCAGTGTTGTTGATTAAAACTGTCTTTTACCAAACAGACTTAATATATTTACAGATAACAGGAAATATGTCTGCACCTTCTGTGACATTCGTTTCGACCAACAAGAAGAACTTGACACACACTGTAAAAGTGACTTGCATCGAAAAAAGATCACTGCTGACGACGACCAAAACTGGAAGTACAGGGAGCCACCTCGTGGCCTTTCAGCTGAAGAATATTCCTTGTGTAAAAGGTTAGTGTGCAGTGGTTTTGACCTGTACCTGTCCTCCTTCTGTTCTATGAACCTGGCTATTGCAAGGAGGTTAAACTCTGTATAAAGAAGTTTTCAGGTCATACCTCTGTTTTTTTAAATAAATCTTTTATTAACACCTATTCTATTGAGTTTTTCAGTTTTATTATAAATTGTTTGATATAAAGTCATTATCAATGATAAATAGCATCCATGTATATAGCCACATGCTAATTCCTTTTGTTTCAAATGGTTGATGCTTTCTTGTACATCTCTTTTCCAACTTACTGTCATAACATGATGATAAACTTGTATGATGACAGCCTGCTGAGGAAATCTATCCAATCTATTAACCAGAGAAGTAAAATAAAATATTCAAGTTGTGTAGAATTTTATATTTTATGTACTCCTACTACAATTAATGTTTCCAGTACTGAAGAGATTGGAAAGTGCTCCTTTGGTGACAAATGTACTGAAGCTCACTCTAAAGAAGAACTTGGCGAATGGAAGAAGCGTTTTAAATTTCGAAAACAGCTTATCAAAGCGGCACACGATAAACAACTGCATGGGAATACCTATGCTGAACAGCTAATGGAGAAACTTGTAACTTCAGAAAACCCTAAATCCCTTGTAAGTTGGAAGTGTGATAGTGGGTCCTGGGTTGCCACTCCTGTAGATGCGATGTTTGTGTCTATTTAGTGCGCTGTCGCTGATTTGACTTCCAGCCAATAGTTTGTCACTTTGTTAGATTGTGAGTTCCGTTCTTATTCTTTGCATTAGAATCAATTACTGTCATAATTGATTTGTGGAAAAGTTATTTAAATTTAGATTGATCTGAAATATAATTGTCTGAAGAGAATGTTTGATTATTGGTATATGAAGAAACATATACAGATTTTTTTTTTCACAGATGGTCTCAAGTGTGGATTACTCTAAAGTACATGTGAACTCTGACCTCAAAGTTAATATGACCTCAAAGAAATGTACAAGTGCCTGGACTTTCACCATAACAAGCAAGGTAATTGATAATATAAACTAGGAAGCCATTTCTGGAGGAACATGCCAAGGAAACCTATCAAGTTTTGAGGCGACATTGCAGCAGATTGTATGTTCATATTTGTGTCCAGATTTAAGGAACTATCTTCTGTGCTTCATGCCACAACAAATAATGTCAACATGGAACAGAATTATTAGGTCCTCCTGGACTTCTGGCATTTAGATTTTAGAATCTGTGTCTTAACCTTTATATCTTTTGCATATGACTTATATTTAAGCATGTGACTAAAAGGCTTAAAAAAGTTGTTAAATGTTGTTTTAGGGTACAGAACATTATAAAAATAAAACTTTTGGCTTTAATGTACTAATTTTTTTCATTTTTCAGAGAAGTCTTCACATAGTGGCTTTACTAGATGATACATACCGCACATATTTTCACATTGCAAGTATCTCTGTGGGGCCAAAGAAAACTCAGAAGTACCAGAACCTGGAAACACACTGCCAAGAGTGGGAGAATCCCGAGTATCCTAATATTTCACTGGGGGAATATGTGTACAGAATCAAGGTACTAACCACACCTGACACTAGTGTCTAATCCAAGGTCATGATTACTATTGTTGCTGTGAAAAGAAATCATTATCATTACTGTTCTGGTTATATTTTTGTGTGGTCTGTGTAAAATTCTATTCAATTATAAGTACACATGTACTGCTTAAAATTCATGTTTGATACTTAAAATGGTACCTGGTAAGAATTTTTTTACTTGATAACATTTTTGCTAAACTTTCAGATATTGATGATTGTAACATTATGATAGAAAAACACTAAATTTCCTTTGTCTTGGGACAGGTTTCCAAATACTATCGGTTCAAATGAGTTTGAAATGTCATGTTTCTGAACCTGAATCTTGTAAAGTCATGCTGAACAGTCCAACAGATATCTAATCTACATTTATTTTTTTATCACAGGTGGTCTTTAAGACGGATATTTACGGGACCTTTCGACAGACACTAGTCATGGATTTTGGGACTGATCCTGTCCTCAGTCGAGAGCTCCAAGTGGAATCTGCTCCTATCACTGACACAGAGAAGGTGTTCAATGACTTTCTTCAAGGCGATCAGGGCCGATGGAAGAAAAACAATGTTCGCCTGCTACCGTTTGAACCAAAGTAATTATACCACTGTCTATTGTTCTTATTACCTAGCAATGTCGCGAACTTCTCTTTAAAAATATGTCAAAAAGACGAGAAAAAAAACATGCATTCAAGTAAACTTCAATGGTTTTGTACATACATTAATGACTTATTTTATACCTATATCAAATTAGAATATTTGATGAGACATAAGGGACTTTTCTTTTCCATTGTTTTCTGTTCTACAATTGGGTCAGAGCTTGCTTTTCCTTGACCCAAATACCCCAAAAGTCTTAAAACTTCATGTATACTTATATCTGAGGAGATCTATACCTTAATCTTGTCAATAAATTTCATTTTTTCACTTCAGTAACTAGAGTTAGACTTTGCATTCAACAGCAACACAAGAACATTTTATCTTGAACAATGAAGATATTTTACAAACGTCTTTTAATTCATTTGTTTATGTTGTAGACCTATACCTAATACAGCCATAGAGGACAAGCTCCTGAGTAAATACTCCCTGCCTGATATAGAAAAGTTCCACTTTGAAGATCATCTTATGCATCCACCTAGGAAAGAAACATATCGCATCTGGATGCATGAAATGTTATATGTGGAAGAATGGTCACAACTTGACAGCATATCAAGGTAACAGCCAATCAGTAGAGAGAATATCAAGGCCATAAATATGTAACCTTTTTGCATGTGCCATTTTATTAGGGGCACGTAGTTTTCCCCAATTCCATCTTTCATCTCAAATCAATATCATCACTCTTGTGATTTCATTTCCCTTGTGATATTTTGTCATCGTTGATGAAAGTTCTCAGGCACAAGAATGTCTGGAATTTGTTTATGTTTCAGAATTCCAAGGTGTAGACTGCTGTTACTATTTATAGGAATTTGTCAAAGATGGGAGTGGGGACATTCATGCTTTTTTAGCATTTGGAATATTTGCATGTTTAGATTGAAAGCTTCACTGTAGTGGAGGATCATGCTCAAATTTCAAAGTAAAAATAAAAATAAGAAAATGCAAAATTGTACTTTTACAGATACAGTCTGAGCACTTCCCTGCAATTGGTGAACCGTTTTCTACTGGTACCAGGGATGATATCAGGAGCTAAATATGCTCAAGATGGAGAACTATTTGCACGTATGACCATGGAGGACCGTTTGTCTGAGGATTATGCTGGAGGTCGTCTCATCCTCAACTCCACGCTTGCTTGGCTTATACCACAGAACCAGATTAAGAAGGAACCCTCCTCTGATCTACCGAGGGTGAGTCTATGTAATAGTCACACATGAGTCTGATAATTGTGAAACCAGTCTGGAGAGAATTTTGATTTTTTGAAAATTTTATATAATCAAATTTATATTCAAGTACATATATGTGTATGTTGAAATACTATTCCTTTTTCTCATCCATTGTACAGGTTTATGAAGCAGTTATTGAGGATAAAGGTAAAAACTTCATCTTCCTTCGCCTGTCAAAGGAATGTGTAGAAGAACTTAATCTTACATGTGACCAGGAATTCCCAGTAGAGGTAAGGGGAGATAACTACATATATATATATATATGCATGGTGTAAAAGTTCTGAATTGTTTTTTGTTTATTGCTGTAGGAATTTGCTGTGTATTTTTGAATGCTTACTTCGCTGCAGCCTTTCTTGATTTGTTTTGTTCAGACAATGTTTTTCATATTGACTTTCACTAGTAAATATTTCATTTGGAGCCTGAATTTTAAGCTCTTCACAAATTTTTTTTTGCTTGTCGTCTGTCCCTTAAACTCATTTTGTATTTGATATTCAGCTTGAAGAAATCATAGGCTCACCACCAATTGTAAATTTTGTTTTAAAATTTTCTATCAATCATTACAGATTCAGTTCCAACTGAATCGTCTACCAAAGTGCGAGATGCATGCTGCCATTGATAGACTCCCAACACTTGATCTTGTATTCCCACCGCTGAACACGTTTCCCACCACTTCCTGGGTCAAGGGCAGGTAAGTTTGGAAGTTATCTGTAATCACAATGAATTAATTAAAAGAAAAAGTTGTTTTGATATTTTTATCATTAGAAATCATTCTTTTCTTTTTCTCAGAAATTTTAGAGACCTCTTTAGTACAATATCATCTTAAACAGATATAAGGGGGGGAAAACCTCTTTAATTTACAACAAAGTAAAGTACTTACTTTTATATTTGAAATGATACCTTAGGTAAATGCATATAGCAGTCAGATGTCTACAACAACTGTCCTTAAAAGTACCGTTTTAGTAATGTTCTTTGCCAACACATAAGAATTATAAAAGGCCAGAAATTGATAAGTCATTAAAGGCTTGTAAAACATACAAAAGCATTTATTTGTCATAGGAGAAACATTGTTTTGAAGAATAAAAAAGGACACGTGTAGCTGTTTTCTCTGTAAGTAACTAGCCAACTTCAAATATTTCAGTTAAAAAAATCCTTATACATTTCACTATTCATTGGTTTAGTCCTGAATTGAGTGAAGTCGTCAGTACAAAGTTGAATGAGAAACAAAAGGAGGCCATTTTAAAGATTACTGCAGAAGGCAAACTGCCCTTGCCTCCTATCCTTCTAGTTGGGCCGTATGGAACTGGGAAGACCTACACCTTGGCTCAGGCAGCTAAACAGATCCTACAGCAGGATGATACTCGTATTCTGATATGTACTCACTCCAACAGGTATCACAATTTCTGAATTTCTCACAGTAAATAGACTTATTTATCTGACAATAAGGCATAGTCAATGATAACCATTATCACATCTTTTGTAGTTTCAGTAGAAACATCAGTAGATGCTATATCATAGCCCTTTAGTACATTCGCCTTGCTACTTTGAATAAGACTGCATATGTTAGCCGCTTGAGCTAATCCAAATATAAAGACTATATATCTGTATTCATATCACAATCATCATATCAGGTTGTAATAAAGTATGTGATTATAATGTAACTATTGTTTTTTTATAGAATCAATAGTTTGTAAATGTAAATAATTCAATTCTAATTTCCAGTGCTGCTGATCTATACATCAAAGAGTTCCTCCATCCATTGGTCAAGGAGGGATACCTTGAGGCACGGCCACTCCGTCTGTACTATAGACACCGATGGATACAAACTGTCCCAGAGGTTGTTATCCAGTACTGCATTCGAGCTGCTGCTGGTTCATCAGGCATCTTCAGGTGTCCCGTCTTGGAGGATGTGGAGAAACACAGGATTGTTATAACTACACTGGGTACGGCTAGATACCTGTGTGATCTCAACTTGGAACCAGGTAAGTTGTTAGTCATCTTGATCTCAAATCTCATCATTTTAGCTCTCACGTTTTTACCCATTTAAGCATTAAAATACCAAAATTAAATTACCAAAATCTGGATGGCAATGTCCCATGTATAAATAATTATATATCAGTTTTGGGTTCAAATGGTTGTTATTTTGTTCCAACAAAGTATAAAGGCTGCATTTATTATGTGTCTGACGTAACCCTCCTCCATTACAATTCTGTGTGTACTGTTATTGAATTCAAATATCTTTATAGTTTGTTATGCTTTCCAGTTTTACATTTTGTAACACTTTTTCTTAAATTTAAAGTCATGGACCTCATTCACAAAGTAGTGAATAAGCCTGACCATTTAAAAGGGTCCTAAATCTATGGGGGCCCTGTAGTAGATACATCAGTGATTGCCAGCTGTCCATTTATCCATGCTTTTGTTTCCAGAAATTGCTTAAGAATAAAAAATGTTTAAGTCCCTGCATAATGAAGGTTACCAGGTATTCAGACTCAAAAGTTCAAGATTACTGTTTCTGAAAACAGAAGAGAAATGTATGTGTACCTTCCTGATTAGCCAGTCATTTTATGCTTTATATTCTTCATTACCGTTCAATTACAGGATTTTTCACCCACATATTTCTGGATGAGGCAGCACAGGCTATGGAATGTGATAGTCTCATTCCTCTGTCTCTGTGTGGACCATACACACGTGTCGTACTGGCAGGGGACCACATGCAGGTAAGCCTAAATACCTTTTCAGTTAATAAACCAGATCTACACTGAGAAGCTTTTCTATTGATAAATTATTTCACTGAAATTATGTTAAAAGATGCCATGGAAAAATGATCTTTTTTGGCACAATAATATTGCCACGTTTGGATCAGAAACTATCATATTAAATACAAGTAGAGGATCTTACATGAGTGTCAATGTAATATGGAATTTATTAAACAAGTTTAATAATTCAATATGTCTCTTGTAAAGGCTTGTGACATATCAAATTATTAAACAAGATTAATAAATTTCATATTACATTGGAACAAGTGTAAGATTCTATTTATCATATAATCTGTATTTTTGAAATTTAAGCAATAAATCTCTAATAAATGTCTCAAAAAGAAAGATTTATTTGATGTGGAAGATACATTTTTCACAAACGAAACAATCATGTGATGTCATCAAGACATGACTTATTCAAGGTGTCAAAATTGTGTGTGCCTTGCAATATTTAGGACATGCTCCTAGGACATGACACAACAGTCCAGGTATGTGATAGATATTTATTTTGATATAAATCAATGTTGTTTTTGTTCCAATTTCAGCTGAGCCCTGAGATATACTCTGACCTGGGGCGACAACAGGGATTCCACAAATCCATGTTGGAACGTCTACATGAGTTGTACCCAGATGATGTCCACTGTAAAGTTATGCTGTGTGAAAATTACAGATCACACTCTGCAATCATTGACTTCACCTCTGACTTGTTTTATGACAGTCAGCTAACAGCCAGCAGTGATCAGCCACGTCACCCACTGTACTATCCTCTCACGTTTTACTCTGCTCGTGGTGAGGAAGTTCAACATGAAAATAGTATTGGCTTTTACAACATTGCTGAGGTAAGATTGATGTTTAAATCATTAGAATACCAGGTACATACCTCATGCCTTTTCTTCTTAAAATAGACAATGAGAACTTGTGCTTTATCCTGAAGTATTAGCCTCGCACCAGTACTGTAGAATGCAGACATTAGCTTTTTGTTGGTCAGTTTACTTGTATAGTTCAGTATGCATAGCACTTGTCAGCAACGATTGCCCAGTATTTTTTCGTATGTGCAATACATTTCAAGTACTGATGTCTTGTGACCCACTAGGTGAAGTGTTTTGGCACCTAATTTATGTTGTATCCTTCTTTGTCGACAGCCAGACCTTATTTGCTGAGCAGTGTGACAAGTTGGACCAGAGTTGTTCGTTTATGAAACAATGACAGACTTACTGATTTATTATGCTTGGCCTGTATCATTATCTTCTGGTCAATGCAGAATTATATCTGAAGCATGTTGACAAACCTTTGTTTCTGCTTTTTCTCATAAAGTGAAAATAATTTTTAAAATTGTTCAAATTTTCTGTGTAAGCTAGCAGAATGTGAAAATTGTGTTGTCATGAAATTGATTTTGAAATGATTATATTTCTAGGTACATGAAGTGATAGACCGTGTGGACCATCTTGTTAGATACTGGCCAAGCTCTGAGTGGGGCGAGTTAGGGGAAGGATCAATAGGAGTCTTAACCCCCTATACTGACCAGGTAAGGTTTTAAACAGGTTATTTACTATCACAAAATCCTGTGTCAATGCTAGAACACTAGTAATGTAAATTTGACTGTGGAGATCCCGCAAACATGATTTTAAAGTATTTGCTTTACTTAAAGATGTGACAATACCTTGTTATGATATGGATATAGAAATATCACCTTGTTTCTTAGGTAATGTTAGGTATGGTTTGTTTTATTTATTTATTATGTTTACATTATTACATTATGTATTTGTACCTTTTTTATACCCTCACCATTTTATGGGAGCACTTTGCTACCCATGTCTATCCTTCCATTCCTTTTCTGAATCATTGTGCTTATCTTGATATACTCTAACAAATTTGGTTCATATTTACTCCCATTGTATCTTAAAATAATTTTTACACTTTATCATATTAAGGTGGTCATCTGTCAAGGATAAAGGGTCAAAGGTCACATTTGATATCTTTCGGAAATAAATCATACAGTGATATCTACTTGTTTGGGAGTGGGACATTCATGTTTTGATGACATTTTCTAGTGTCTTTCTGAATAAAAGTTAAATACCAAATAGGCTTTGTAAATTATTTTTACTTTTTAAAACAGTATGAAGATAATTTGAGGGAAAGGAATTTTACATTAAGAGCAAATTTCATCACAAAATAAAATGAGATATACATCTTTTATGTCAGGAAACAATTTCTTTTGCAGGTGTTCCATATACGATCAGAATTAAGGAAAAGGAAAATGTACAATATCAAAGTGGAACGTGTATTCAATGTACAAGGTAAACCTCAGTATTGAATTTCAACATAAGGAATGGTATCTGTATTCATGCTGCTATTGATCCCTAGGTGCCCTGAGAGTAAAGAAACAAGGAACGGCCACTTCTCGTTATTGCTTATGTATATATTTGATGTTCCTCTTGATCTATTATAACAGAAAGGTAGTAAAAGTGCACACTTCATGAGTTTGGTAGTCAGTCATGTATAGCTCTTATTTACAGATGCCATATTTTATTTGTTTACTCTCTGAGAATAATGTGTGTTTTGTACAGAAATCTGGCTGCATTCCCCACTTTATAAAGAATTATGGCTATTGTTAACCCCTCTCAAGGAATGTGGGAAAGGACATATAGATGTACTAGGTGGGGAAGTTCCTGAACGTAATATATGTAATGTATATAAATGTAAAAATTATCATTGTTAGCACTCTAATGGCTTCATTCCTTGAAAGATTTTTATCGTCTTGCACAAACTTTTAAAGGACTGTTACCTGGAATTTTGAATTTCAGGGTTATAGGGTCAAGGTCACTATAGCAGTTTGATTTTTCAAAGGATTTATCAAACTTCACACACTTATGTAGCGCCGTGATATTTTAAATATATTTGATTTTCATGGTTGTAGGGTCAAGGTCACTACTATTTAGAAAATGTTGTCAGTGCTATAGCAGCTTCATTTCTTTCGGGATTTTAATAAAAATTCACACACATGTATAAAGGTACACCATAACTGGTTTTAAGTTTCAGAGTTGGAGGGTCACGGATATGATCTGTGTTATTATTTTAGAAAATTTCATATTTTTAGGGATTTTCATCAAACTTGTCAGTGCTCGAGCAGCTTCATTTCATGAGGGATTTTAATCAAAATTCACACACTTATGAAAGACCATATTATCTCAGACAAGTAGAAGTTTCAGGGTTGTAGGGTGAAGGTCACTATTACTACTTTTAGTGAATCATTGTCAGAACTGTAGTGGTTTCATTTCTTGAGAAATTTCTATCAATCTTTACATTCATATAAAGGTCCATAGTGTCACAGACAAGTTCATGTTTCAGGAATGTAGGGTCAAGGTCAAGGCCACCATTATAATTTTTAACCTGTCCTGTCAGCATTCCAGTGGCTACATTCTTTTAGGAATTTTGATCAAGCTTCACATTTTTTGACAGCTTCTTTGTTGTACTTAAGTCTAGTTGGAACTGTGTGAGGATATGTATCATTAGCAATGCCTTGTTAATTTTTGTTCTGAAGTTTATTTCATCTAGAGCAGTGGCTATTGAATATAATGCTCTGCCTTGTTAAATCAAAATTAATATTCACAGGTAAACAGTTTCGGGTTGTCATCTTGTCTACGGTACGGACTCGCCATAGCTGTAGTGCAGACACAATACAGGATGATGTCGTCAATTATGGCTTCCTGTCTGATATCAAGCTTCTCAACACTGCCATCACCCGAGCTCAATCCCTTGTCCTTGTCATTGGTGATCCTGTCTCCCTCTGCCTAGTGGGCAAGAGTCGGTAAGTTTAAGCTTTAATCTGTGAAAGTCAGGGGTTCTTGTGTCTATGATACAGCATACAACTTATATGGGTAGATATTGTTTGGCAGCACTAGTCGGCAATATTTGGCAATATTTGGCAGCTCTGGTGGTGCAGTGGTAACACACTTGCCTTTAACCTAGATGTTGGTTGCCTAGTCAGATGTGAAATGATACATTGTCACTTACCTAACTGTACTCCGGTTTCCTGTCACACCCTTTACACACTTACTTCCAATACAGCAAATGTGATTATGATAAGTTGGTACAGCTTGTTTTGCACTTGTCATTGAACATTTAAGCTGTTTTGTAGGTATGACATGGATAGTAAATAGATACGTGGCCTAAGATTAAGTTACAGACAGCTGTATAAAATAAAGTTAAACACTAATTCTGGTATCGCAACATGTTCATCATTGTTTATGATATTTGTTGATTGTTGTCCAGAGTGCCTAAAAATTGGTTACAAGGGAGTCTCTTGTTAGGATAGCGGAGTGTACTGTTAATCACCAACTGTAGATTTCACAAGTACTTTATTTCACAAACTCACCTCTTTAAACATATTTTCAAATACAGGATTTCACAAATGCTGATCTAGAAAATACTTTGAATGTGTTAATCACGAGCAGTTAGAGACTTGGACTCTAAAAGACTCCTATATCTGTAACCGATAGCTTCAGTTTTGCTTGTTAGAGTCATGTAACTATACCTGAAAAGTTGTGTGATTCAGACAAGTGATACATGTTGTGTCCATACTGAATTGTATTTACCTGGTATGACAAATGAAACGAACATAAACGCTCCACATGCTTTTATGTTGGGAGAGTTAGATGAGTTGTTTTCAAGGTAAGATGACTGGACTTCAATAGGTCAGACATGTTTGTGCAGTGTTCAACGTCACACTTTGTATCTTGTTTATACTGATTATACAGTAGTCGTTCTAATGTGAACATCTTTGATGGGGTTTTTTTATCATTTATTTTGTAACTCACCAATTACGGTAAATTGAATTACGCAGAAAAATGATTGGAATTTTTTCTGTTTTAAATTGATGGTACCACATGTATTAAGTTTGGGAATGGAAATTATGTCACACGACCTGTATATCAAATCTTAAATAATATGAATGGTATATGGTTGACACGGTTCACATCAGCAGTCACTAATGTCACATTTTGCAAGAAAAGATGTTGGAGATCTGAGATCAGCTGACATCATAATGTGATAACATTGTAAAAAAGTACATTGTAAATTGTTTTGTCTCTTTAACAGAAAAATATGGGAGTACTATTTAGAAATTTGTCAAGACAACAACAGTTTATTTGGTACAACCTGGATGCAGCTGAAGGCCCAACTTACCTCAGCTGACATGCGCAAGACATTCATTCTTAACCCCCTCGCTCCAGAATTTGTACCAAATAGACTATTTCATGCCACCACACCAGATATTACCCAGCAGGCAGCATCAGGGTCTCCAGGAAACTACCATGGCATCACTCAGCATCCACAGTATTACATGGGCCCAAGGATGACATATCCTCATCCACAGGTATAAAGGAATTCTTTTCTTACTCTTCTCTCTGATGATGGCAGACTATTCAAATTGCCCCTCGTCTTTGGTCCATCATCCGTCTGTTCATCTGTTCATAATCAATTTTTGTTAACATTATTTCTTGAGAAGTACAGGATGGATTTCTCTTAAATTTCATATGTAGATTCCCCCTAGTCCCTAGTTGTGCCCGTTTGATTTTGGGAATGATCAGAAAAACAAAATGGCAGACTGACGGCCATCTTGGATTTCGCAAAGTGAATAATGTTATTGCTATTTCTTGAGATGTACTGGATAGTTCTCTCTCAAATTTTACATGTAGGTTCCCATGGTCCATCATTGTGCCCATTTTATTTTGGGACTGATCAGAAAAACAAAATGGCTTCCGGGTGACCATCTTTGATTTGGCAGTAAAAGATTATTATTGCTATTTCTGCAAAGGAATGTTCAAATTTCTTATCATTGAGAGCAAAAACAGAGAAGAGAAAAGATAGGGGAAAATACAACTTTTAAAGAGCAAATAAAGGTCAAACAATGATAGGCACCAATATCCCTCTTTGATCTCATATATATAATATATAAAAATGACATCTTTCTAGAAATGGAAAAAAGTATAGCAAATCATGTTATGCCATTTTAATTTTCGTTTATTCCTTGAGATACAATTGTTTTGAGGGAAACCTTAAAACTTTTCTATCAGATATAGTTTCCATTAATGCCCCATATAGATACAGGTAAAAGATACATATCCTTTAAACCTTTTTTTTTTTTCTTTTCAGATGTTTCCTCAGCCCTATATGCCAGTTCCCTATCCAGGTCTTGTTCCACATGTTGTATACAATAGACAGGGTGTCCCACACATCGTCGGCTCCCCAGCTCAGGGTAGAATACCTGCAAGAGGTTATCACCCACGTCATCCATCCCTTCTAGCCATCCCCAAGGTAAGGCCAGGTGATAAAGACAAGGTCAAGGTTGACTCATCCCAACCTGATGCAATGCTACCTGGAAAGAAAATGTCATCAGTGGCCCCACGTGGACGCCAGATTATGTACATGCCTCCACGTATGTCAGCAGCCTACCAACAGATGTATTACTATCCACATCACTTCGGGGGATACTACTACATGCAGGATGACCCCAGAGTTCTAATGAATCAGCAGCACCCTCGGGGACCACTGTTACACCAGCTAGGGCCACAACATCCTAGTCAGTTTTACCCAATCCTACGTCCACATTATGCCGCGGTAGGGCCAGAGGATGTGGAGGACAAACGATCACAGACATCTTCTCCTGCATCTTCTCAAGGTCGTTCAGGGTCACCAGTTACATCCCCAGGATCATCAGTTGCAAGTCAGCAGATTCAGCTCCTTCCCAACGTACGTCATGTGCCAATTCACCTGTTCCCACGAACAGCAACCTCAGCAAGCAGTTCCCGTTCAAGTACACCACAGCGAACAGAATCACCACACATCCCACAAGATATTGCTACTGTCATTGATCCCCAAGCTTCACAAAAAATTGAAGCAGGTTACCTGAAATCCTCAAGTCCTGCATTGGAGCATCAGGAGAGAAGAGGATCAGCAAATAGCCCTCTTGCAAGGGTCATTGCATCAGCACAGAGGCAAGCACCAACAAACACTGACAGTGGACTGGTGCTCTCCACTCCTTATAGTAGTGGTTTTGGGGATATGATTGTGCCTGGTCAAAATGGAGACGTGAATGACATGGTGAAAAAGGATAAAGCAAAGCGAACCCCTGTAGGACTTCGTCTAGAGACAGGATTCAGCCGTCAGTTCAGTGAAGATTTGGAAACCCCCACGGAAATCACAGACTTGGTGAAGATGATTGACGAGACAATTGAAGAGGGACATGAATCAGCAGAGGAGGAAGAGGAATGGAACAAACAGATGTCTGAGAGCAGCAAATCTTTCCGTTCCCATGCTTCTTCTCTGACTGCTTCACGTAAACTTCACCTGAAAATTCCTCAACAGTCCTCAACAGAAACTTCAGAATCATCAGGATCACCCCCAACTAGCCCTCCTGGTTCGGATCAAAAGCCAACATATGCTGGCATGCTACGTCGTCGACTTCCACCAGCTTCAAATGACATTGATCCCAATCTTCTGGAACCTCAGACGCCTCACACTCCAGCTGGTTTCATCTCTCCTGGAACAGACATCGATACAGACCCACTGGGTATTCTAAGGAATCTGAACATCAACGCCTCAACTGAGAAACAGAGAACTTACAAATACTTCTCATAGATATGCCAAGAAAAAGTTCAAATATTTCTGAAAAATATTTGGAGCTTTTCTACAAAACTTCACTTCAATATGAAAAGCAAATCTACTTATGTTGACAGAAAAGTTGAATTACATGTACGTAGATCAACAAGTTGACCATTAGAATGTTCATATATGCAGTTACATTTAAGGCTACCAGAGAAAGCATGTCACAGTCTTGTTTAAGTCAATGAAGCTATATTTTGGAAGAGAAAGAAAAAATAAGAAGATTGAATTACTTAACTGACTTGTGTCACGGTTTATTTTTATAAATTAACTGGTAAACATATAAAACAGGTTGTATATTAATCCCTATTGCTTGTTACTGGCTGTAGGTTTTTCTGCTGTAACAAAGTTTCAACTTTAGGTCAGCTTCTATGGCTCTTCATTGTCAATCTGTTGTGAAGTAGGTTTTAGGAAAGAATTGTTATAGCTTAACCACATATTCTTGCTGATTCTTTGCTAGAAATCTTTACATTTACTTCACGTTATTCTCAGGATGCAAAATTCAGGTTTTTGATGATGGCCTTTCTTGAATATTGACAAAATGGTGTTATTTTTTGGTAAAGATAACACAGTGGTTGACTAGGTTCTACACTTGAAATGTATAATGCATTTTGTACTGTAGCCAGGCTTGGTAGAGAAATATAATGTAGACACTATTGGTTAATAACTTTTGTAAAATAGTCTTGAAAAATTTTGCTTTCATCACTGAGTGAATTCTACGTTATAACTGAATGTTAGACCTACCTATTCTTACACTTCTGATAGAAATGGGACAATTTCACAAACTCTTCGCATTTATTTGCATATTTCATTAGTTGATCACATCATACTGTATCTATACACTCTGTTATTGTTTTTTAATATAGGGCTACTGCCCTTCATTCATAGTGATTTTTATATTGGACAGCAGATGCATATTCCTTGTACAGTTACTAAGATACTTTTATGTGATCGATGTCTCTGAGTTGTCTGCCCTTCGGTCATGGAATTCGATATTATATAATAATCGAGTGATCATTTATTTCACCAGACTCCAGATAATTCACAGAGTACAGTGTTATATGATAGTTGTTGATGGCATAATTCATCAGACTTTGGAGATGTCTGCCTTTTATTCAAAAACTTAAGGTTCATATTATGAGTTGTTGATTGCTAATTTCACCTAATAACAGAGTTGCCTGCCCTTTGTCACTGGTTGACAAGGTTTGTAAATTTTGGGTACATTCATACATGTTTGTCGATCACTCAGGTGTTTTGTACATATTGTAATTAGCACTTCTTGGTTTTTATACTTAATTTAGAGAAGCTTAAACTGAGTGGTATTCTCACAAAGTGAAAATAAGATACACTGGAAATCTGCATTTTACTGTGACTTGCTGGTATATATTTTTTCAGACCAAGCATGATTCATGGTCAAGTGGTTTGTAGAAATTTTCATAGAAATAGCTTTATTTGACATGGCTTGAACTTTATCCCAGCAGTTGTAGTATGAACTGTCAGTTACTCTTTATTGACAATATAGATGTTTATGTACACCATAATCGTTAGCACAGCTTGTTATGTGTGGCAAGAATATATTAATGTATATATATATATATATCTTAATGTAAAAAGACTTACTTGATTAGTTTTAAATATTAAGTTATATCTCCTTACAAATTGACTGATTATTTTGTAGGTAATTGCTTTTTCTTAACTGATGAAGTACAGAGTACAAGCATCTCTGTTGGTGTTAGCACACTAGGGAGGCATAATCTGCTGTTTTATTTTCTTTTTTAAACAAAGAACACTGAACTTACAAGAGATTTTTTAAATATCAACCAACATTAAGTCAGTTAAGTTATGGGATAGCAATACATGATGAATGTATATTTTTGTATTAGCTGTTCGATCATTTGATAAATATTTTAGATATGGAAGTTAGTTTAAGCTTGATAGTATAAAACCTGTTTATTATTGGGGTGTCTAGGCCAAACAGGATGATTAATCTTGTGAAGTTGTAGTGACCAACTAAGTTATTGTAATAACAAAATCACGGGAGAGAAACTGTCAGTTGATTGGCCTGGTGATTCCAGAGGCTGTGCTTTTGCTTTCCTCCTGAGTTCTTATGTTCAGTTGTATCAATACTTTGTGCTATCATTTCTTTTCTTTTTTCCTTAAATAGTAAGGAGTAGAATAAGTATTGATCAATAGGTTTGAAGGAAAACCGTTGATGTGAACTTGACATTCATAAGGATGCTAGAGTAGGTGTGCATTTCCAGTAGAAAAGTGCTCTTTTTGTGTTAGTGTTGAGGGAATCAACATTGTCTAGAGTTTCTTATAAATTTCAGTTGAATCAGGCTATCTTCCTGTCTATGAAATATCTTTCATACTTAAGAAATACACTTTGGTCATGTACAGTTATTAGGTTTTATGACGGTAATATTTTCTGTATTTAGACATGAACTTGGGAAGAAAGAAAGGATATTTCCTTAGTGTATTTTCAAAAATCTTAAGGTGAAAACTGATTTTACATTTTCTGTTGAAGGAATGGTTACCTGGTAAAGGTTTTTTCACTAAAACATTGTTTGGAAGTTTTTTATGTTAAAGATTTGTTAACATATTTTTGTTTTAGCAATTACAATTTAAAGATTTTCAATTAATAAGATACCATGTTTACCTGTACATGACGTGACCTTGACCCTTTTTGTTTTGTAGGGTAGTATCAATACAGGGATCTATGAAATACAGCTTTTATGAAATAAGTTTACTTCTTATAGGAAGTAATCAAAATATATCGCAGATCCCTTCATACTGAAACTGACCTATGATTGTTGTATAACTATACAGATTAACTAACACATACACACACACAACCACACCCACACCCACACACACCCTCACTCAAACACACAGAGTATACATCCAGAGCTGGTCTCATGTGTATACAAGGGGAGAAATTGTTTACAGGATCTGGGTTTTTTTTTCATTTTACTTTAAATAAGAAGGTTGGATTAAGTTAAAAACAGCAGCATCTATGATCTTGTTACATTGTATCATAAGAAGACTTGATTTTTGTATGTTCAGTTGAAGAAAAAGTATGACATATTTAACTTCCTAGCCAAGTGTGACATTTCTTTAACAATTACTTTGTTTTGCATTTTATTATTTCAAAATTATTTACCATTTCTCTAAAAATTTACAGCAATTCAGATCTTTTGTGTTTTGTCTACTCAACTGTCAGAAACAATTTTTCAAGCAGTTTCTTAACCTATGTGGTTTTTAGAGATGAAATTCTTATTTGTGATCAGCATTGATAGTTTGAAGTTGGTGACATGATCATCTTCAGCATGCAAGAATCTAATTTGGTTGTACCTACAACATGTCTACTTTATCTACCTATAACATGACCTAGGCATATATTCCATGGGTGGAGACAATTTGTGTACAACATAAGTTGATCTCTTGCTTGTTTCAGATGAGATGCGAGAGAGATGTTTGATATAGATGTAAGTGCGAGCAGTTAGGTTTAATTTTTAAGCTGTTGTGTCTACTTTTCTGAATGACCAAAGTTCAGAACACAATTACAGAAAACAAACAGTTGGCATGGATTTTATTTCCTTGGGAAAGAGAAAGTCTGTTTGTGTTGATAGCATTTGCTATGGGCACATTGAAACCAACAGAAGGGGACAACATTAAGACCTCTCAGGCAAACCCTGTTTGTATAGAATTCAGATGACCTCTAGTTCAGTTTGTAGTTTCAGTGTCAGCAAGGTTTTATTGTAATGCTACTTAGAAAGTAACTCAAGGTTTGACATGGATTTACTCAGAGTTAGATCATAACTCCTACACCAGCAAGTGATTTTAAGGCTTATTTGTGTCAACCAAAAAACTTTGTGTTGAATGGCCTTGGAAATAGAAATTGCATTTGACTGTCAATATCTTCTCTACCTCACACATTGAATGATAAATACATTTTGATATTGATAAAATTGACCACTGTGAATTTAGATTGTTTTCTTAGCTTTTCATTTTGACCCCTATGAATTTGACTTGTTGTTTTGACATCTGTTACTGCCTGTCTTATTTGACCCTTGTGAATATATTCTGTCCTTTTTTTCTTCTAAGAATTTGAGGTGTTGTGTTAACTGGCCAGGTTTTACCTTGATGAGTTCACCTGGTATTGGGACTGTCCTGCAAATTGAACCCGACATATTTTAATTTTTATGATTCAAAATAAATGGATCCTTTTATATTTTACCTCTGTAAATCTTGACTGGTGGAATATGATCTCCATCAGATTTAACAACCATCTTCTTTTTATTTACTCTACTGAATGAAAGCTGTTGTAAATTTGTTTAAAGTTTCAGTTGAAATTATTTCTTTAATCCATATTTCAAAAATGAATACTTTTTTTTTTTCATTAATATATTAAATTTCTGTCAAACTGTGTTGACATATTTTGAATACCATATTAACAATTTTGTAATTTTTTGACAAGCCAAATTTCAGTTATCACATATTGATGTCATCTTGGTTAAAACAAGGCAAAATCTGAGTTCTGTACAGGTTGGAGAACTGTGGTTGTTGAAGTGTGTTACAATGGGTTCTCTGTTGTTTACTTTGTGTGGTTGTAATGTGTAGCCATTATGATTGTTACTGTGTAATCACACAGTGCTGTTACCAATATCCAATACCTCTTCTATAGAAATCTTAGTTAAATGTCATTCCTCTTACAACTCAATGCCATTTAGAATATCTGATAACCTCAGGAAAAAAAAACATCATTTAAGAATTTGAGAAACTACAAATGCCTGTTTCTATCTTTTTTTATTTCAGTCAGACTGAGCTACCCAAGTATTAGCCCTTCTGGGGCTCTAGTTCAGACCGAGTTACTAGACTAGCCAAGCTCTGGGTCACTAGTTCAGACCAAGTTACTAGCCTAGCCAAGCTCTGGGTCTCTAGTTCAGACTGAGTTATTAGCCTAGCCAAGCTCT